GTTTTATCCCATCAGCATATCCCACAGCCTGGAATTCAGCTTTTAAGACAGGGAGGGAGGTGTGAAGTGAACAAAACAGGGTTTGTGGGGTCCCAGGGAGGTGGCAGGGCTTCAAGGCAGTGGCTGTCCCAGAGTCTCCATGTCCCAAGTTCTTGGTTTTACAACAGCAAACCCTGCTCTTGCCCAGCCACAAGAATTTCCACTCTGAGTCATGATGGCTCCTTGCCTCCAGCTATTGCTCTTGCATAACCCAGCCCAGTCAGGCATGGTGGCTGCTCATCTGGGCTCTCATGGAGAAAATCTGACCATTAACTAACCAGTGAAGCCATTTGAACAACTTCACCCTCTGGCATGAGCAGGCAGAAGTGCAAGCTAAGCATTTCATTAAGGAAACCCCAGTGAACTACTCGGTTCTCTAAAAGAGGCACAGATGTTGCTGTCCTTCCCAGGGTGAGTTGTGCTTAGCAAGGAGGAGAGGCCAGGGCTGACTGATGAGCTGTAGGTTGGGCTGGGGGTCAGTGACGCAGAGGGGAGGCTGCCTTGCCCTGGGACAGGAGAACAGCATCTGGACTTTCCCAGCTCCACATAGGGACAGTCATATAATTCCTGAAATGCAGAGCCAGTTCATTTCATGTGATGTGGGGATCGTGCTGCTGTCAGAGAGGTTTGCACACAAGCTTCAAATGCCATAGATGCCTCCTGATGCCCTGACAGAGACTCCTGGTGGGATATGCTTGCTCGAACAGTTGAACCTTTACATGAAATGCGATGGAGCCCTTGCCTTTCAGCCCTGAGAGTTTCCTTTCCCCTGGGGTGATGGGTGCTGCCCACTTTCACTGGAAGCACTGATAGCGTTGACTTTCCAGCAGGAGCTGTGCTGTTTCATGCTCTTGCTCAGGCTGAGGTGTCCCTTACACAAAATGCCCATGGCAGGAAGTGGGATGCTGAAAACCACCCCAAACCTGGTGCAGCCATCTGGTTTGGTCTGGTTTTGCTGGGGACTCATCCCATTCAGAGAAAGCTGGGAAACCTCCTGCTCAGTTGCCCTGTGGGACTGGGGAAACCCCATTTGCTTTCTCAGTGTGTAGCTGGAATGCCACAGCAGGACTCACTTTGCTTTGCCTTGCTCAGGAGTTCAAGGAGGGTCGCCGGGCCAGTCACACAGCCCCACAGGTGCTCTTCAGCCACAGGGAGCCACCCTTGGAGCTGAAAGACACAGACGCGGCTGTTGGCGACAATATTGGCTACATCACCTTTGGTAAGAGGCAGCTCTGAGCTGTGGGGATGCTTTGGGGGGAGAGAGGTTCCTGCTGCTGCATGAAAACCAAAGAGGAATTCACCTTCCTCGAGTGTTCAAGTGAGTTATTGCAGCTGCAGAGACTCTGGAGTTGTGTTCTGTGTTGTCTGCCCCCTTCTGCATGTCCCTTTGCTGTATCAGGTCACCTCAGCTGTGCTGTGGGTGAGAAGGTGTGGAAGCAGCCAGTGAGCTCTTAGTGTCTGCCTAAGAAATAAGCTCAGCATTTGGGAGCAAGGGAAGGGTGATTTTATGGAAAATGGAGGTTTCTTGGTGATTTCATGCAAGTGTATTTGTTGTTTGTCCAGCTGCAGGTACCTGTGCAGTGCTTGATCAGCAGAGGCAATCTGAGAGCAGGAACAGGGCAGTGAGTTCTGCTTCTCCTGCTCTGCTCTTTGCTCTGGGCCAAACAGTCCCATCTCTGATAAGCCTTTCCCCTGCCTGCAGAGGTGCTGGCCACAAGAGTCATCACTTCCTCCTGGGCAGTACTGCTTAGGGCTGAGCTGAGGAGTCCAAACCCTGTCCTGTTCAAAGGGAAAGGTGTCTTCCAGAGAAATTGGGGGTCAGAGTTAGGGTGTCTCAGGCTGACATTCCTGCAGTTCAGAGCTTGGAGGTGGAGCACAGGCACTGCAGGGGAAGGTGAGGCTAGCACTGCCCTCCTCTTGTGCTGGGAATGGTGCCTTGAGGTTAGAGCAGCTCATCAGCTATGGGAGGGCTGTCTTAAGGCAGGTTTAGGACATGAGCAAAACTTCATTCTTGTTGAGGCACAATTTCTGTGTTATCTGATCTGACAGTCCCAGGTGAGATCATCACCCAGACAAAAAGGTCTTTCAGCCCTTGGATCTGGGACGCTGAGCACAGCGCCAGCCTGTGGAAAGAGCCAGCTATGAGCCCGGCCCTGGCTGTAACCAAGTGTAGCTGTGTCACAGGACCGGCAAGCTGCCAGGCAGGGACCCACAGCTGATTTCAAGATCCAAGGGCAGAGTGGATCTGCCTCCCTTGTCTGCCTCCCAGCTCTCTCCTCCATTTGCCTCTCCCAGGCACTGAAGTAGCATCATGCATTTTCCTGCAGTTCCGTCATCTCTGGGCACTTGGCCTTGTCTGCGTCCTCTGGAGTGCAATGGCTGTGTCCAGGCTGCTGCAGGAGATGTGGGAAAGTGCTGTTAAGCCCTGTGTTTAAAATCACAATTGCTGCTTAATCTTGGTGTTAAGGGCTCTTTGTAGAGAGCATAGTAGCTATTTGGAGCAGCACGCTGAAGCCTCCAGCACTGGAGGAGTCTGAAACCCTTTGGTAGCCTCAAGAGGCATTAACAGTTTGTGTCACCCTTTTGTTTCAGTGCTGTTCCCCCGTCACACCAATGCTGCTGCCAGAGACAACACCATAAACCTGATTCACACATTCCGGGATTACCTGCACTATCACATCAAGTGCTCAAAGGTACTGATGGGATGGAACTGGGGGATACAGGGTAGCTTCAGCCCATCTAACCTGGGTGCTGCTGGCAAGGAGCATGGGGCACGGGTGCCCCCCTAAGAGCTCACTTAGGGTCTGGCATTGCCCTTCCCCGTCATGCAGAGGTGGAAAGTGATGCATCATTACCTTCTCCCTGCTCTTTGGCACAGGCAATGCCTGGTTGCTTCCCCTAGCAGTGAACTAGGACTTTTCCCGTTTGGACCCGATTTCCTCTCTTTCTGGGAACAGAAATGAGGGTAATTGTTCAGGGGAACTGCTGCCTCCTGGACTCTCCTCATGCTTAGGTGTTTTCCCAGCAAGGAGCAGAAAAAGAGCTCCTACCCTGTGTCCTGAAATCTCAGCTGTGAAAATAGGATCCTGATGTGTTCCTCTTTTGTCCTAATGAAACACAGGCCTATATACACACGCGTATGAGGGCGAAAACATCAGATTTCCTCAAGGTGCTGAACAGTGCCCGTCCAGACGCAGAGAAGAAAGAAATGAAAACAATTACGTGAGTAGCCACAAGTTTGCTACTTCTCACCTTGGTATTCTCCAGCCTGGGGAGGGATGGGATGCTGTGGGGATGACCAGACCAGGGGCTTATGTGCTGGGACCCCATCTGAGAGAGAAAGGGTGCTTTCATAGAGGGGTGCTTGCCTGTGTGCCTTGAGGTAAAAGGCTGGATCACAGTGTGTTGGCCTCCCAGAACACCTGTGCTCCCTCCACCCCACTTGCTTGCTGCCTCATGCATCCTTTGAGGAGCTGGGTCTGTGGCAGACCCTGTGCTGGCAAGTCCTTTGCAAAAGAAGGCTCGTACATGCCTCTTAGAGCTCTGGTGTTTCAATTGTCTCTTCCCCTGAGCCTGTGGTGGCATTCATGGGGCTTTTCCCCTGTTTATTAAAGCTGATGGATCGGCTCTGGGGGCAGCCCCAACTTAGGAGAATGGCCAGGTCCTTCCTGGTGGTTTGTGGGTGCTGGAGCAGGTTCCTGCTGCCCACTGTCCAGAGCTCCTTGGCCTTGGGGTCAGGAGCACTCCTGGGCCACCATGCTGCCTGGCTGGCTCCCTCATGTGGGTAAAGGAGCCCAGATATAAGTGAGTGGAGAAGAGCAGTTGCATGCACACATTTCCCTTGGGTCCCTTTCCCTCTGCAGATCCCAGAGCCCCTTGGCATCCTTCTGCGCATCCTGGCATGTCCCCTTTGAGTTCTGCTCCAGGGCAGCAGAGTTGTCCTGAGTGCAAAGGCCACCCCCTCCCCACAGTCCCATGACCTGGTTCTGCAGCCACAAATGCCTGCAAGCTCTGGCTTTGAGAGCTCAGTGCAAGCTTGTGCCCCACCAAAAGCCACCCTGGGGCACCCAGAACAGCGCTAGGGCTGTGCTGACCTTTCTCTGCATCCTTCCAGGGGGAAGACATTCACAACCCGTTAACTCCGGGGTCCCCGAGGCTGCCGTGGAGGACGAAGGTTGGGGCACTTGCTACCTGATAATCGTAGCTTTTAATGTTGCACCTCTGTGGGCTCATAAGGAATTCAAGCAATCGGGGTCTGTTTGTACGACAGTTTGGGGAGTAATCTGCAGAAACGAGCTGTGCTTGCGAGGACTCGATCGTTCCAAGAAACAAAAACCTTAATTCCAGTTTGATTGACTTAATTTCTTTTCTTTTTTATTTTTTTTTTCTTTTCAAGCTGTTTCGCTTTGCAATATGTTACTGGAAATAAGTTGCAGTATTTCTTATGAGAATAATGCAATATTAACTTGTTTTCTTCTGAGTATTTGAGTTCAAAACTCCTGTATCTGAAGAAATACTGTTGGGGTTCATTAATAAAGGAGATCTTTCTATCTTAAGTGCTGTGGGGCTTTGGCTTGTCAACACACATGTGGCCTTGTTTGGAGTCATAGGTGCAAAGGGCCTGGTCTTTACTGTATAATGACTGTATCCCGGAGGAAATTACTTGGTGATCTCCGTCTTGGGGTCCAGGACTGAGTAGCATGTTGCATTAAGGAACTCCCAGGGCTGCACAGAGCAGTATTCTCCTACCCTCGGTTAGCAGTCTGCACCTTACCCTAGCCCCTTCCTTCCCCCTGGCAGGGAGAGCTAGGACTGGGGGTCTCTGCCTCCACCCAGACCAGCATAAAACTGGCTGCTGTTGCTCCTGAAGCCATGGCTGGGTGCTGGGGAGATTCCTGAGGAGGGAGGGAGTGTAGCTCCACAGGTCCTCTTCCCCCCAACAAGCAGAGTAGATGGCATCCAGTTAAGTGAAATAATTTATATAATTAAAAGACACTTTCATACAAAACCCCAGGCTTGGCCCCCGGATGGTGAGGGCAAGGTGAGGCAGACTGGAAAATTACAAAGCACGTGCTGGAGAAGGGTGGTGTAACCTATCTCCTTCTTCTCCCTGTACACGAGCACCTGGCAGATCCAGGACACATCCCTCAGCACAGCTCCTAGCGATCGGGACGCTGCACGCAGAACACTTTGGCTTGGTGGTCACCAGAGGTCGTCACCACGATGGAGGCATCCCTGCAGGGAGACGAGGCTCAGAGATGGGGCTGGAGACTTCGGGCATCTGATCTGCCCCACTCCCTGCTGGGACTTTCAACTCTGAGCATGGACCTGAGCAACAGCCCCCAGGGGTACCCAAAGGAGAGACAGCCCATGATGGCTCCCCCACCCCTGGTCCCCACTCACTTGTTGACAGCGAAGTCGAGGATTTCGGCCGAGTGCCCTCGGTACTCGCTGATCATCTTCCCTGAGCGCGCGTCCCAGAGACGCACAGCCCCGTCCAGGCTGCACGTGTACACCACAGCCGAGCTCTCCTCCCACAGCAACTGCACGATCCCCGACTGCGGCAGGGGGAGGCCACAGGGTGAGGACTGGGGACCCCAGCAAGGCTCAGCTCCCCCCACGGGTTCCCCCAGCGTTGTCTGGATAGGAGGGCCAGCCCCCAGGGCCTGGCATTGGGGCACATCCTCTGTGCAGGGACTGTGGCTACCTTTGGGGAAGCCCAAGGGGCAGAGGGAGAAGCACAAATTGGGAACTGGGCCCAGGAAAGCCCCTGGGCTCCAAGGGAGGTCTTGGCTGGGCCCAAAGAGCACCCCCCAGGCGAAGGGAGAGGGGGGTAGGGCAGTACCTCGTGTTGGCACTTATGCCTCAGGCTCTGTGTGGAGAGATCATAGATAGCCAGCGTGCCATCCAGGTACCCCACAGCAGCCAATGGCATCCTGTAGAGAGGGGAATGGTGTTACATGGGCCTGGGGGAAGCAGGGATGGAAGCACATCAAGGTTGAAGGCACACCCTGCACTGAGGGCTACAGCATATCAAGACGGTGAGGGACAACCTAAATAGGAAACCCAACAGGACACCAAGAGTCAGTAACAAGCCTGAGGTTCACGAGGGAGAAGACATTGTCCTGGTAGGAAAGATCCCTAGCAGTCACACCTGGAGGCTATCTTGGCCCATCAGACTAGCTCAGAAACCCCACAGGTTGTAGGGAGGACTGATCATATGGTGTCCCTTGTCCTCCATGTCACACCCAAGTGACCCACAGCCAGTTGGGGAGGATGGAGGAGAGAAATGCAGCAGAGCAAGCGCGAGGAATGGAAATGGCTCTGTCTGTAACATCCGCCCCATGCAAGATCCTGCCCTGAAGAGGGGCTGTCCTGACACTTACACATTACAGAAGCCCAGGGACTCCACCGAGTTGGACTCTGCCTCCTCGCTCTTGCCACCAGGGGCCTTGGGGGCCGTGCTTTCCATCTTGAACACGCACACCACCTGTGTGGAGGGAGGCTGGATAGTGTCCGAGCAGAGCGGAAGGGGACTCCGAGCAGAGCGGAAGGG